AGCTCGCTAATTAACGCAGTCATCGGCGCTCTCATCATTTTCGTTTCCTGGTCTCTGACCAGTACGGCCACGTTACACACGGAAACAACGTAAAAAATGCGAGCACCTGTTATTTCAGGTTTTTGAGCTTCTCTGCATTTGCAACAATTTTCTGCAGCACCTTAGAGCTGCACTGCTGTTTGCAAAATAAATGGAAGCAAAAAAATGTGAAGCAATGTCAAAGCGGTTTGTCATATAGATACCAAGCCCTTTGCGAAGACCAATATACACTACCCCTTCAAATCATTCCAAAACTTGAGTGTACGGTAATCGTAGAGTTTGGAGTTATCTTTGGTTACACGTTGAGAACAACACGAAGCGCGAAAAAGAATTTCCTGATTCAGACTCACGAATGGCCAATGACAATAACTCAAAAGTGTTAGTGCTGCACTGTGCACTCCTGAACTGATGTTACTATTTTCATATTTTACGGAGCCCCAGAAGATAACACACTCTTCACTTTCTTGTATACCCTACTACCATGCGACAAAACCTGCTTCACGTAAATTGGATGTCCGCCACAAAAAAATTGCCCAAGTAAAGATCACTAACCTTATCCCAAGAATCCTTGTCTATTGATCCGCACAAATTACAAATCATCGTAAGCTGTTTCTGTTCGGTATCACCTTGCATGATCGGAGAACGCGTCCACAATTCGGCCATAATGCATCCAGCTCCCCACATATCTATTGATGTGGTGTACTGCCTATCTCCTGAATAAAGATAAAATGTTAAATGGAACATCATCAACTAACTGTGGTGACGTGTTCCTTCCAAGCATTCTGAGTGCGACATGAATTCACTTTCTTCAGTAACTCTTTGAGGGTTGGAAAAGTCATTAAATAGAAACGTGAAATACAGGAAAGTTTGGATTATATGCGGCGGAAAGTAGTACTTTAGAGCATATACACTATTTACAGAGCATCAAATTCTTTTCTTTTTGGCTTGCGCGTGCTAAAATCCTTGACGCTTCAGTAAGATAGTTCATGTGCGACAGGGCTCGACTCCGAAAACGGAGACCACAATGTCAAATGTGAACAAGGGAACCTTAACTTGGGAATTCTAGCACGAAATTCATAGTCTACAGTAATCATAAGTAACAAGATTAAGCTTGACACTAAAACCGAAACATTGTAGTCAGAGATGAATTACGTAGAAATCTGTCTGCAAAGATTACTAAGATCTGTAGTGTATTGAATGCATACCTAGTAACAGCTCTGGAGGACGATACCACAGGGTTACGACACGATTCGTGTACATTTGACGTGGATGACCTGAAAAAGTGAAAATGAGCACGAGTTCTCATGCACGCAAGACAGAGCATAGCCGTTTTGAGTTGGTTCAACAAATTATCCTTGTGCATTCGCCAAGAATTTGAAAAATGCAATAACTAGTGCGTGCACATGCACGCGTGAATTCGATGGCACAAGTAGAGAAACAAAACGTATTTGCTTGAGATGTCTTGGTATGTTAAATTTTACACGGGGCCTTGACATATTGTACACCTTTATGCAGCTAAAAACGCTCCTCTGACCCTCGTTCGGAGAAAAAGTTTTTGGAAACAATAAAAGCTGGTGTAGATGTTCGAAACTATGACTGATCTCAAAAGTAACATACCCATGTAAAACGGTCTTGCAAGTCCAAAATCGGCTAGCTTGAGTATGCCGTCACGGGAAAGCAAAACATTGGCAGCTTTCATATCTCGGTGTAAAATCTTAGAGCGATGAATCTTCCATAGCCCATTGAAAAGATGCTGAAAAATGACTTTCACTAGAACAAAGGAATATTGGAATTCTATACGTGCTCGGAAAGAATTTTGCCCCCTCAAAACTTCCTATACTGGTTCGATCTCCCTCGAATGTTCCGGTCCCAATTTTCTAAAAGAAAAACAGCACCCCAGCAAAAGGGTCGGCGGTGATCAGCGTACATGAAACGGAAAAAAATTGAAAGAAGTCAACAACCGAAAAGGTTTCCTCAAAATTGTACTCTCCCACCCCTAGGGATTCAAAAATGACGGGCCGTGGCTCATAGAAAGGAAATGATAGAACTTAAAAAATACAGTGATTCCAAAATTTCAAGAGCTTACCTTCATCATAGTCTTTATATGTACCAACGATATCTTAATTTTATGATTACTCAGTAAGCCAGCAAGATCGTGCTCACAAAACGCAAACACCAAATAGAACGTTGACCGATCACGATTGTGAGCTGACGCTGAAAATTGCAAGCGGTATCACATATTAGAAATGTTCCTTGAAATTGTTAGACTCAATTATCTAAACAAGCTGTAAGGCTTGGTAATATGTATGGCCGAACTAACCTTTACTGCTGCATACTTCAATGAGATCTGTGATATTCTCATGCTTTAGCTGTTGCAACATTTTCACCTCTCGTAGAGCCGTAATTGGGAACTAAACAGGAACGGAAACTAGCGCCAATCGCAAAATCTCTTGAGTTGTGGAGTGGGGCAACATTATGGAAACAACTCATTAATTACATTGCAGCAAGATTTTTAGTATATTCCGAGTAACAAACCGTAGCCTGAATCCCGGCACACTTTGATAGCGAGAATGAGAACCCCTGTCTTCAAAGACAATATACGAAAGTTATAACAAGAATGGTGAATTATGGGTAAGTCTTGCCCGCAGGCTAGACTCGAATACAGTTAAGGAGTGCTACTAGTAGAGATTTCCGAATCTTTTTGCCTTCTATAGGTGGCGTCACAAATCGTCAGACTTCCACGCGCTTCATATTTTTCTGGAGCAGTCCCGAGTTCAAGGCAAGCGCAAAGCCCCACCGATACAAGGTTGAAGATAGGCCATGTCGAAGAAACGGAGTCCATTCCAAAAAAAGCAATGAGTCCTGCGCGGTTTTTTCTTGGAGAATGGAAAAATGAAGTGAACAGTTCCTCTATTATTTGAGCTAAGAAGACAGGATATTTTGTTTTCACAATTTTGTTCCATTTAAATGTACTGAAAAACTTACGCCTTCTTTTTCATTTTCCATTAGAATCTTCTTAAGGGCTACCATTTTACCGGTTTTCTTGCACCGAGCTTTGAACACTTCTCTGGAATTCACTATGGTCCGATATAAAATAATATATAGAAAATAGTATATAATGGAACAGCGACTTACCCAAATGTCCCTTGCCCTATTTTCAGAAGTTTCTCGTAATTGCTCACGTCACTAATGTAGGGAAATTTGAAATCCTCGACATATTTTATCAATGCGGGGTTCACCTGAAGCACTTCTCTTTAAAGAAATATATTTTAAAAAATCCAAAAACGGTTTCAGA